GCACACTTCCTAAAAGCAATAATTGACTGCGGCAAGGGCCACCTCTGATATTTATGCAGGGTCATTAGAAATGATCACAACTATATCATTGGATGCATTCAAGAGGGAGCCGAATGTGGCCTTTGTGCCTGAAGAGATCAAGGGGTATGGAGAGAAAGTGGGAGTGGGATACAGAAATTGCATGATCAGCCATGATCATATTGATTGGTGGTGCAGGCTTGAAAGGCCAAATGGCCTACTCCTGTTTCTATTTTCTATGATTCAATGTTTCTATAGACAATGGCCCTTTCTCTATAATCCTCTGCAGCTGGGGACAAACTGGCCTAGTCTATTACCAAGTGTACTCTTTCATCCCAGAGATGATGCATTAACAGAGCACATCTAGGCATAAAAATTAGTAGGTTCAAGTCAGCAGTAATGGGAATTACATCCTGCAGTTTTTGCCCTTCACTATCATCCCATGTACAACATGATTTTCATATCCTTATTTCTCTATTTTCTCCAAATGTAATAGCTTTATTTGTTCTATTCACATGCTAGTTTTAATGGTTTCCAATGCTAAGACATATGTTCCCACACAACATCTGCTCATTTGTCTCAAATCTTGTCTAACTCTGTAACACACCTAAATTTCTGTATTCCTCTCATTCTAAATGTTGAGCATGAGCATCCCTGATTTTAATTGCAGTACTACACCCAGCCATGAATTCAGTTGCCAAGATCAAGATTCTGGAATTATCTCCCTATTCCTCTCACCTGTCCATCTTTATTTTGTTTTTTTTTAACCCTTGAATGTACTCCTGGAAGGTCTTGTGGCCCATTGGTAGTGTCCCTTCCTCTGGATCAGAAGCTGCAGGCTCAAATCCAAATGGCCATGGAAGGTGCGCCATAAAGCGACTAAGCAGGTTATCATGAATCTACAAATCCTTTGGATACACCCTTGGCAGGCAGTAAGAGCAGGAGAGTTTCCTGGTCAGCCAGAACCATGCATAGCTGCAGCACGACTCCACACACACACCTTTTTTGCCATGAGTATGTATAACCGTAAGACAGAGGAGCTAAATTAGGCCAATCAGCCCATCAAGTCTGCTCTGCCATTCAATGAAACAGAACATAGAAACATAGAAGATAGGAGCAGGAGGAGGCTATTCAGCCCTTCGAGCTTCCTCCACAAATCATCACGATCATGGCTCATCGTCCAACTCAATAGCTGAATCCTGCTTTCTCCCCAAAATCTTTGATCCCATTCACCCCAAGTACTAAATCTAATCATATCTTGAATACATTCAATGTTTTGACATCAACTACTTCTTGTGGTAATGAATTCCTCAGGCTCACCACTCTTTGGGTGAAGAAATGTCTCCTCATCTCTATCCTAAATGGTCTACTGCGAATCCTCAGACTGTGACCCCTGGTTCTGGACACACCCACCATCGGGAACATCCTCCCTGCATCTACCCTGTCCAGCCCTGTTAGAATTTTATAAGTCTCTATGAGATCATCCCTCATTCAAAAACAATCCTAACCTAGTCAATCTCTCCTCATATGTCAGGCTCGCCATCCCCGGAATCAGCCTGGTAAACCTTTGCTGCACTCCCTTGAGAGCAAGAGCATCCTTCCTCAGACAAGGATACCAAAACTACACTCAATATTCCAGGTGTGGTCTCACCAAGGCCCTGTATAACTGCAACAACACATCCCTGCTCCTGTACTCGAAACCTCTCGCAATGAAGGCCAACATACCATTTGCCTTCTTTACTGCCTGCTGCACCTGCATGCTTACCTTCAGTGACTGATGCACAAGGACACCCAGGTCCCACTAAATATTCCCCTCTCCCAATTTACAGCCATTCAGGTAGTAACCTGCCTTCTTGTTTTTGCTTCCAAAGTGAATAACCTCACATTTATCTGATTTGGCTGATCTGATAATCCTCAACTCCATTTTCCTGCCTTTGCCCACAAACCTTTGATTCCCTCACTGATTAAAAATCTGTCTATTTCAGCTCTGAATAATGACCCAGCCTTGACTGATCTCTGTAATAAAGAATTCAACGGATTCAATCCTGTCTGACAGAAATATTTCCTCATTTCTTTAATATGTCTTTAATGTGTGACCCCCTTATTATGAATTTATACCCTCTAGTCCTAGATTCTCCAACAAGGAGAAAACAATGACATTCCACATCTACCCTGTCATGTCCACTAAGATTCTTATATGTTTCAATAAGGCCACCTCTCATTCTTCTGTATTCCAACAAGTATAGTTTCAATCTACTCAACGTCTCCTCGTAAGACAGTCCCTCCACCCACCAAGTGAACTTTCTGTAACATCCTCCACATCCTCATTCTGAGGAAGTATCCCGTGCACGCAATCTACCTCACTGTCCAGACTTTTATTAATCTGATCTGCTATCTCCTTATCTACTTCTATGTTACATTTTGTTTTATAATGTCTCTGTGAGGTGCCTTGGACACTCCACAACATTAAAGATATTTACTTATCACAAGTTTTGTTTCTTTTCCCCTCCATTATTCGCACCCAACTGGTTAGACCCAAATGTTATTTTTTTTAAATTTTTTCGTCAATAACTAATGACCTGCCTTGTGTTCCCTGTCATTAAAGGGTCTGAAAAGGTGAATACTGAGGAGTGCTGTAAGCCCCATCCATAACGATCATAACATTGATGTCATAATATAGACCTGATGACGGAACAGCTTAGGAAGTCAAAGGAGTAAAACCTACCATCAAGTTCCTCCTTGTAGACATTGTTACAGAGACTGTCATGTCAGTATATATTGTACACAGTTGTCAACACGCAATAAAATGCATCTTCTTTAAAACAACATCCTCCTTTCACTGGATGAGCAAGTGGTTTTCCTCCACCACATTGGACTAAGAAAGCCCCAAGCTGAAAGAGGATAATGGTAGCAAGCCGACTCCATGGTGAGCAATAGTGCACATAACCAGCTGGTCTGCCATGAGGATTGCTCATAGCTGTGTCTTTGTAACAGACAAATTTAGCATCTTTTGAATAATTATTAAAATGCAACTGATGTCTCTAGAACCAAGGATTATTGTAGAGCATTCTGGAAATAGACACTTTTTAAAAGGAGAGCTTTAAGGAATGGTTATAGCTTGCAGTTGTGTTTGGAAACTGAACTAAAACGATTACAAGGAGTACATGAGATTACCAAATGTTTTACTTTCACAACAGATCTATTAATAGAGAGCTGCCTGCTCTAATTGCATTGCTTAACTTAACAGGTGAGATGAAAATGCTTATCTCTTCATCAGCCTTCAGGATTTAATTGTCCCACACAGCAGATAATTAATCCTTGTATTTGACAGAACCTAATGGCCTTTCTGTCATTTTCAGCTGGGCCCAAAATAAATGGCAGATCAAAAGGCACTGATTCAGGAACTCATAAAACCAAAGCTCCAGGTTAGTATTTATTCCAGATTAATTACTCAGCATGTGCTATGTTTCAGTAATTTTCATTGTGTAAAATCTTTTTCAGTGTGCATTATAAAATTTGAAGCATTTCAAAAATGCTAGAAATTCAAGGCCTTGATATTTGTATATGAGAGACTTTTTTCAAAAAAAGAGATTTTATTTAATCCTGCAGTTTGCTAAATTGCCTTCGCGAAGTTAAAGTGAGCACTATTAATTTTCTGTGGTTACAGCAATGTAAAATCTGTTCACCCTGTTGCAGACGTAGCATGAGTGCTGCAGTGATTGTTGCCATATCCCTTCATAAAACAAGAAGCAAAGAAGCTAAATGTTCACCTGTGGGAGGGACAATCATTGGGAGGACAAGTGATCATGTAGGATCAAGGCTCACAAACACTGTTCCCCTTCTCTCCCTTCCAATCTTCACTCCCATCTCCTAATCTCTGTCAAGAGTCTGAAAAAACTACAATGAATCCATTGTGAATGTGCAGGTGTATCTGATAATCTTGCACGCATGGACATTTTCATTTGAATTGCACCTCTGTCCAAGACTTCACAATGACAGATGCTCTCCAAGCCAAAAGGTTTTCTCTAACTTGTTTCAATAACACGAAAGTGAAGGAAACAGTGGGATATTTGCACTGCAACCTGCCAGTGGTTTTACAGTGTAGACCAACTGAGACAGTTTCGAGTGGAAAATGTTCATGTTAACTGGACACCTTCTTGCTCTTTCATGGAAATAGTGGGCCGGATTTTCTGAGGAGTGGCAATCATAACGAAATTAGCACTCTGCTCCAGCTTTTTTTTTCCATTAGGATAGAGCTCTGCATTTCTGGCATGAAATTCTGATCATGACTTCTTCAGAAATGCAGAGTGTACTTTATATCGAACAGGTGCCCTTATTGTGCAGGACAGTTGGGGAGCAGTCAAACTATGTCCTATTTTACAGCGCTAGTTGTCATGTTCATAGAATCATAGAATCCCTGCAATGTGGAAGAAGGCCATTTGGCCTATTGTGTCCACACTGACCTTCTGAACAGCATCCCACCCAGACCCACCCTGCCCCGCCCACCCTGTTCCTGTAACCCTGCATTTCCCATGGCTAATCCACCTAGTCAGCACATCCCTGGGCAGTATGGGCAATCTAGCAGGCCATTCACCCCGTCGTGTCCCTACCAACTGTCTGAAGAGCATCCCTCCCAGACCCATCCCATCCCTGTAACCCTGCATCTCTCGTGGCTAATCCACCTGACCTGCTCAACTTTGGACTGTGGGAGGAACCCGATGCAGGCTTGGGGAGCATGTGCAAAATTCACACAGACAATCACCTGAGGCTGGAATCAAATGCGGGTCTCTGGAACTGTGAGGTAGCAGTGCTGTTCACTGAGCCACTGTGTTCTGTGATGTGAGTGTCCAGCAACACAGACAGCTACTTTGTCAGCTGCTGTGAAACAGTAAGTATGTAATATACATTTAGGCCTAAGATGCCAGATAACTAGAGTGCCAAGAGGGTAAAGTGCCAGATAAGTGATGGAGTGTGCAGGGCAGGTTGGGGTGTGCAGGAAGTATCAGGTTGAGCAGGGAGAGGTGGGAGTCATGTCTGGCAAAGGGGAGATAAAGTGTCAGCTCTGGGAGGAGGTGGGAGTACTGAGTCTGGTACAGTGATGTATCAGGTCTTGGAGGGAAGGTTGCAGGGCTGTTACACTCTACGGGGAGGGGAGTGGTTCCCAGGAAAAGGGAGTCAAGTCCAGTAAGGAGAGAGTGTTGGACCGAGTTCAGGGTATGTGAAAGGTCTGAGGTAATTGTAGCTGGAGAAGTGGATGGAGAATATAGTAGTTACTCAGGAGTTAGTCTTTTATAGATATTTCTGGATAACTATTAACCACAGCAAAACCCTCCAGAGTTTCTGATTTAAATGGATACTTTCAGAGAGCTCCAGATCTGGGGAATTGCCCAGCAGAAGCTTAAATTTCCAGGGGAATTCTTTCAGAGCTGACGCTTCAGGGATTCTGCAGGGTCCCGATATCCAACTCCCATCTACACTGCAGCAATAACTCCCTGGCCATTGAAACATTCAGGTGAATGTTAGGAATGATTCCATTTCAGTGAGGGAAGCATTAAGTATAAGTGACACAACAATGGCTTTCAAACCCATTGATGTCATCTGGAAAGAAATGTGAACAAAATCTCTTCCACTCTCTGAAGGCAGTATCTTTCGTCATTATTTCCTTGCAGATTGTCACTGGTGGATATTTTTCTTAAATTTGTTGTATATTTGCTGGTGTGATTTAAATGCAGCTTCTGTTACTAAATCTTCATTTGTTCCTTTAGTTCCTCCAGATGTATTTGCTCCAAATTCTATATGGAAGGGCTTCTATGAATACCTTGGAAAGAAACAACCAGCAACATTAACTGTTGATTATTTTAATATTTCCAATGGTCGTGTAAATGTTACATTCCTCGAGCACAGCAACATGGCATTAAAGTTGTCGGGTAAGTTTTCATCTCCTGCACTGCCTCTTGTTGTGGACCAAATAACATAGATCAGGTCTGTATTGCTATTTTCTTTAACAATGAAATTTCTTCATTGAAATATTGTTTGAAACCTATTTTGAACTGATAAAAAAGCTGTTTGAGGTGCAGTGTAAAGAGAAGCAGAGGCACTAAGATCTTGCTAAGAGCAAAAGAGCCATATTAGAATGTAATTCAGGCAGTGCAGGATGTGCAGGAAGAGAATAGGAAAGCAACCCATTGCACAATGTCAAGGTTTCATCACTGTGTTGGAGGACAATTATTATGAAGCATCACAAGATATTTGCTAATACCATTTAAAGTTAAATCTGTATAGTTAATTAAGGGTCACATGATTTTTATCTAAATTGACCTCACAGTAAATCAGTCTCAGTTTCTGACCTGATCAGAGCAGGGGCTCTTCTGGTGCAGTGATAGTGTCCCTACCCCTGGATTAGGAAGCCTGGGTTCAAGCCCCAGTTTCTCCAGAGTTGTGTTGTAACATGTACAAACAAAAACAGAAATTGCTGGAAAAGCTCAGCAGGTCTGGCAGCATCTTTGGAGAGAAATCAGAGTTAGCATTTTGGGTCCAATGGCCCTTCCTCACAACTCATGTGTCATGACGTGTTGGAGCAGATTGCTTGTAAATGTCTATGACCTGAATGGATCAAATCTGTCAGACACTTTGCCGGTTCAAGTTGATGTTGCAGAGGGTGGCATTATTCCTTCATTATCTCCCCACAGTTACATGCAATGGTTTCTTCATGCAGCCTTATTTTTTGGCTGGTTAGCCAGTTAATACCCCAATGGGGTCACAAGCTAACATTAGTGTATAAACAGACTGGGTTCAAATTGGATTCGTTCAGGGTTCTGATATCCTTCTTTCTGGAACTTTCCTTTGTATGGAAACTTGGAGACTTTGGGGACAGGGCTAGGAGGATGAAAGTAAGGGCTAATTCTGCGACTTGTCAGTCTAATGGATTTTTAAACTCATTTAAAATAAACAGTATGCCAAATAATTTCACATGAATGCATTAAGCATTCATATGACAATACCATCCAGTGCATTTTCCGGTTGAAGCTTATTGTCGAAAGGTAAATGGTTAATTGACTTTAGAATAAATTCAGGATTTCAAAAAACCATTATCAATTTGGACTTTGTCAGAGCTCTGATATGACTGTACTCATGACATTTTGGATTATGGAGTGTAGTATAAATGAAAACTACCTGACCTTTGAAAAGCAGTTATTAAAAATTACTTTAGCATTTAATTGAAATGCAGGAATTCAGCTTCATGGACCTGGGCAACAAAATTCGGATCTGTGGCACCGCTCATGTCAAAACTGCAGAAACTCCAATGAGAATAAATATGACAGCGATCTGGTACTCACGATACCTGGAAGACCAAGCACCTATCCCTGGGGGCTCTTTTGGCACAATGGGAGTGTCCCTACCTTGGGGCCAGGAGGCCTTGGCTCAAGTCTCACTTGCTCCAGACATGTGTAAAAATATCTCTGATCAGGATGATTAGAAATATCTAAACTTGAGTTGGGAAAGGCAATAATCTAGGCATCCCGCGTGTGTACCAGTTATGTGTGGGGCAATTTCACTCATTGTCTAACACAGATTTGGCTCTCAACCTGCCATTTTGGACCTCGTAAGGCCTGTTAATGTTCTTCCTTAAACCCACCACAGCACAACCCAAACATATGTTCAACTGCATGAGGAAGTCCCCACCATCACTATTTAAAGGCATCACCGTGGAACTTTTAGGTGGAAAGACTTCCCTTTGCTGATGCAGAGTGAATGGAAGTACTGTCTTCATGGGTGTTAGGGGAGCTCTTGCAAGTTGTCTGAGTGAGAAGGGAGCAGTGTGAGGCATTCATGCACCAAGCCTGTTCTCAAACATTGGGAGGGCTGGTGCTGATGCTGCCACTTGCTGGGTTAGAACTGGATTCCTCTGTGCTTCTTGACAGTGACAAATGCATGAATGTCAGACCTTGTAAAAGCACACAGAGTTTCAGTGGTGCAGCCCCATCAGCCTCTTCGATGCTCTTCCAGCTCTCTGTAGCAGCACTCAGCTACAACGTTAACCGTGGTGGACCTGACGCTCGCATGACTGCTTGCTGCAGTCCACTCATGCTCAATAATTTTCTGTGTGCAGATATCACTCTTTTTAAATTGCCAGTATCTGAGCTGATGGTTATGATTGTCAGATCAAGGGATTTCATTTGTGTCTCCTTTACACCAGGTTACACTGGCTCACCAGCCAGTGGTTCTTAAGTATCTGAGAGCATAAATGTAGGATGGTAAATGTGAGGGAAAGTTGAGTGGATAGAAATCAAGATCCCTGGTCCCACCTTGTATTTGAAATGGATAATGGTAAGATAGAATTTGAGAAGGTGCAAAGGGAGGAACATGCTGTCATCCTAGATGGTTTCTGCATGGTGTAACAGCCTCAGTGACTTCCATCCCAATAATTCACCACACTGTCTCCTTTAAGGGCTTTAGAAGCTGCCTTACCCACTCAGTTTATCTGCAGTGACCTTGACCTACAAGACAATTGTCTCATTGAGTGTGTTGCAATGCATTTGAATGTGTCGTGTTTGATTGTCAGAGTTGAATATTTCCGTGTAAATATGTGCAAGCTGTGAGATACTGCTGGTGGCATTTATATGTGTTTGTCAGTAAACAGAAGCACTGGACTGTGAGGTATGAGTGCCAATTGCTGAAGATTGCTACTGGCTTAGTGAGGGAGGGAAGTGCTTTGAGCAGTGTCTGAGGTCGGTGTTGGATAGGTGATGGCTTTTGACACACCTGGCATTCTCTGATCTTGACCATTTGTGTGAGGTCGGTCATTCAACTGTTTACAGCTATGCAGCATGCTCCTCAGGGCCATGCTCCTTGAATTAATCACTGACAACCTGCTCCCATTCATCTCAAAGTGTAAGTCTGGCAGGAAACAAGAACGCTGGTGATCACACCAGGTCAGGCAGCATCCATGGAGAGAGAACAACCTAACGTTTCAAGTCTAGATGACTCTTCATCAGAGCTGAAGTGAAGTGTGGAGGGGACAGCATTTACGCAATAGTTTGCGGGGTGGAGGGGAAGGTTGTTGGAATGTTGGGGGCGAAGGGATGTTGATAGTTCAGATTAAGTGATTGGAATGTGAGGATGGCAGAACAGTGCTGTGTCTAACTGCCAGATTTGAAAGAACAAGCAGTCCCAGTGGGGTCAAGGTAGGGGTGAGAGGACACGGCGACGGAGAATGTAACAAGTAAAGCTAAAAAAAAGGAATGGGTTCACAATTTGAAGGTGTTGAACTCAATATTAAGCTCATGAGGCTTTAAAGTGCTTAGCTTGAAAATGAAATGTTGCTCTTCCAGTTTCCGCTGTCATTTGCTGGAATTTTTCAGGATGCTTAAGACAGACAAGTGGGCATATGAGCAGGACGCTGTGTTAAAATGACCAGCTATGGGAAGGTCAGGGTCATGTTTGTGCACAGACCAGAGATGTTCTGCAAAGCGGTCACCCAGACTGTGTTTGGTTTCTCCAATGTAGAGTAGGCCACACTGGGTGCAGCGAATACAATGCACAAGATTGAGGAGGTATAGGTGAAACGCTGCTTCACCTGGAAAGACTGTTTCGGCCCTTGGATGGTGAGCAGGGAGGAGGTGAAGGGGAAAGTGTTGCACCTTCTGTGGTTACATGGTTAGGTTCCATGGAAATGGGGTATGGTTTTGGTGGTCGAGAAATGGGACTAAGGTGTCCCAGAGGGAACAAGGTCTGTGAAATGCAGATAGCGGGAGTGAGGTAAAGATGTTTTTGGCGGTGGCTTTCTGCTGGAGTTGTCTGAAATGGTGGAGGGTCATCGTTTAGATGTGGAGGTTGGTGGGATGAAAAGTGAGAACAAGGGGAACCCAATCATGCTGTTGTGAGTGAGAGGAAGGGCATGGGTGATAGGTCCCCCAACCGCATCCAACCTGTCAACCATAGTGGGTGGGAAACCACGGTCATGGAAAAAGGAAGCCATGTCAGCAGCGCTAGTTTGGAAGGTGGCATCATCCGAATAGATACAATATACGCAAAGGAACTGCGAGAATCCGATAGAATTCTTGCAAGATGTGGGCTGTGAAGAGCTGAAATGAAGGTAGCTATGGGAGTCAGTGGCTTTGTAGTGGATGGCAGTGGACAGTTTATTCCCTGAAATGGAGACGGAGAGGTTAAGGAAAGACAAGGAAGTATTGGAAATGGACGATGTGAAAGTTATAGAGGGGTAGAAATTGATCAAGATCCAGGCAGAAGCATGGGGTGGCACCAAAAACGTCGTTAATGAACCGAGAAAAGTTGTGGGAGGGGGCCAATCTAGGACTGGAACAAGCATTGTCCCACATACCCCATAAAGAGGTAGGCACAATTGGAACCCATACAGGTGCCCATGGCCACTCATTCGACTTGGCAGAGGTGAAATGAATTAAAAGAGAATTTGTTCAGTGAGAGAACAAGTTCAGCCAAGCGGAGAAAAGGGGTGATGGATGGAGATTGTTCAGGCTTCTGGTTGGGGAAGAAGCTGAGAGCTCTCAGACCATCTTGATGGGGAATGGAGGTAGAATGGAAGTAGTTCATCCATGGTGAACAAGGCAATTAGGGCCAGGGAACTGGAAATTGTCAAATATGGCAGTAGGCATCAGAGGAATCGTGGATGTAGGTGGGCAGGGTCTGGACAAGTGGAAAGAGAACGGAGACAAGGTAGGGGGAAATGAGTTCGGTGGGGCAGGAACAGGCTGACACAATGGGCCTTCTGGGGCAGTCTGGTTTGTGGATTTTGGGAAGGAGTTAGAAGCAGGCTGTCCAAGGTTCAGAGTCTGTAACGTGGGAGGCAGTGGGCGGAAGATGTGCAGAGGTAATGAGGTTGTGACAGTCCTGGCAACGATGGCTTGATGTTCGGATATGAGGTCATGGTCTGGGGGAGGTAGGAAAAAGTGACCAAGAGCTAGTCTTGAGCCTCCACGAGGTGAAGCACAATCCACCAGACTACAACAGCACCACCTTTGTCGGCAGGTTTGATAACAATGTTAGGGTTGGAGCAAAAAGAGTGAAGTGCAGCAATTTCAGAGGGGGACAGGTTAGAGTGGATGAGAGGAGCAGAGAAACTGAGACGTCTGATGTCACATCAGCAGTTTTCAATGAAGAGATCGAAGGCAGATAAGTGGCCAGAGGAAGGGTTCCAGTGAAGGGTGAATACCGGAGGCAGATGAGGGGATCAGAGGAACGACGGGGGCGTCCTACCCAAAGAAGTGAGTGTGGATACGGAGGCGGCGTAAAAACAGTTCAACAGCAAGATGAGCCCGAAATTCATCAAGGTGGGGGCATAAGGGTATAAAGTTGAGTCCTTTGTCAAAGTCTGGAAGACCTGTTCTGCAGGCATGACTCCTCTCTTTCTTTCCACCCCCTGCATTTAAAAAAACGGCAGTCTCTTCTTTGGCCTGCAGCTGTATTGCTCCTCTTTCCTCCTTCTGACTTTCGCTTGTAAAGACACTTCCAAATCCTCTGCATCCAAAATGCACCTCCACTTTTAAAAAGGTGCAGGCTGGCTTTAATTGAGAGTCAACATGAGCATCAACCTCCCCTGCTGAGCGTGCAGTTAGTAAGTAGCAAAGTTTGTTTGCTAACTGCATCACTTCAACTGGTGCAGGTTAGTTGTGTGTTTCAATTCCAGTGCTTGCAAATGGACCTTCCATTTTTATAGCCACTCATATTCAAATATGGTCCCAGCACTGGAGAATTATCTTACTCTGGACAGGGATTTCTACTTTGGACACAATCAGTGATTTCAATGCCGATCATTTCCATTTTAAAATGCCTTGCAGGTCCCTTCCCTCAAAGTTTCCACTGAACTTCATTTGCAGATCATCACTTGCAAAGTCTGTCATGAATTGGACAGCACATAAAATGATATTTTACAACAACCTCTGCTTGTAAAACGTTCTTTGATTAACAGTTGTGGCTCACTAAAGTTTGACAATCGAGCTGAAAATTGGTTTATCACGAATTTATTCTGATTTTATATCAGTTTCAGTCCACCAGTTACGTGTAACCCAATTTTAAATAACAAAATGAGTTTTTAGAAAAAAAACTCTGGTTGGATTTAGCTACAACAATGATTGCCTTAGCAAATCTAAAATGGGAAACCATAGAGTTTTTACAAGACGGAAAAAAAGCCCTTCAGCCGAAAGTATCCACACTGGTCATTAATTCTATTCCCATTTTCCAGCACGTGGCCTGCAGCTACGCTGTGGCCTTTCAACTGCACAACTAAATACTTCTCAAATACCTTAAGATTTCCTGCCTTTACCACCTGAGTTTCAACTACCCACCACCCTCTGGGTGAAAACATTTTTCCTCAAATCTCCTCTAAACCTCTTATGCCTTATGTTTAAACTGTAACTCCTGGTTATTGACCTCATGACAAAATGGTAAGGTTTCTCCCCATCTACCCTGGTTGTGCCCCTCAGAACTTTGTACACCTCAGTCAGATTCTCCCTTCAGCCTGCTCTGTCCTAAGGACATCAACTCTAGCTTATCTAGTTTTTCTTCATAGCTGAAACACTTCGCTCAAATAATATCCCAGTGAATCTTCTCTGGACCCTCCCCAGTGCAATCACATCCTCCTAAAGTGTGGTGACCAGAACTGCACTCAGTACTCCAGGTGGGGCCTAACGTTATGTACAGCTCCATCATAACCTCCTTGCTCTTATATTCAATGCTGTTACTATCAAATGCAACTATCCCATTTGCCTTCTTCACAACATTAATTTACTTGATGTGGTGCCTTCAAGGATCTATGGACATGCACACCAAAGGACCCTCTGATTCTGTGTACTTCCTAGAGTCCTAACATTCAACATGCACTGTCTTACCTTGTTAGTCCCTGAAAAAGCATCACTTCATGCGAACCAAAATTTATCCAGTGCCTGTCACAAAAGATTAGTTCAAGTTTTAGAATCTTATCAAAGACTGACAAAGAAACATAACGAGCAGAAATTCCCAATGGTTAATTAATTCTTTTAGTCAGACGCAAGAGATGGCAGAAACTCAAATTGCCTCAAATCCAACTTGTGATTAAAATTCCACAATCTTCCATATTGATTACGCCAATCTGATGAGTGGTTGGAAAGGGTATCACATTGACGAAGCAAGTCCAGTCAAGTAGAAACTGCAGACCCAGAACGAAAGTTTGGTTCACGTTCAGTTTAAAAACCTGGGATAGAATGTACAAAAGATATATAAGAATTTTCTAATTGCTCATCACTGATATTAAAGTGTTCAGCTGCACAATAAATACAAATTGTATTCCTTTTCTAAAAAAAAATTAAGTAACGTTATTTTCTTGTTTCTACTAATTTTGTATTCAATTTTGTGAATATTGTTGGACATGTCATTTAAGTTCAACCACAGTAGAATTTATTCAGAAACCACTCTTTGGTGATTAAAGTGGCTGAAGTTTATGCGCTTAATATCTGCCCTAAAAGTAGAATATTTTATCATTTTTCCTGTACCCATTGTTGACACAAAACATTTGCAGATCAGGTTGTGATATTGACTTAAAGACAGTAAGTAACTTAGGGCATTAATTTAGAATCACCCTTAAAGCCAACATAGACAGCAGACTTTAATTTCTTCACTTTGAAGTGGATTTAAATTTATACCAAGAGATACAGAGGCTGTACTCAAACACACTGTGTAACATGTCCCATGTTGCATTGAAATCAATGTTATACTGTATACCTTCTACTTGGAAGAAAACATAATAACAAGCTATTCTTGCGCCAATCATAACCAAAATGCTCCATTTTGTTGTTCATATCTGGTAACCATCTTGAATTACGAACAAACTTTTAGTCTTGATCAAACAGTATTTCAGAAATGTTCAAAATTAGTGAAATATAAGTAAGTGCTGTTCAATGTGAAAAATGGACTTATTTACACTTTCAAATGCCAATTATTAAAATTAATTTTGAACAAATGGATTTTTCATTTTTCAGAGCTCCTTTAGTATTTAGAAAAATTTCATTTGAACACAATCTATTTAGTCATTCACCCAGACATTGACAGTGGTGTCTCAAAACTTCTTTTCAGATCCTTCTGCTCTCCACCCTCACTTAATTTGAAGCAATCCTTAAAATTGTCTTCTTTTGTCAACATTTTACCAATGCTTCTGATATATCCTCCATTCATTCACATTTATTTTCGTCCTTTGCATATCGTGTGAAAAGACCTTAAGGCTAAAGATATGATGCATACACAAGCTGTTGTCATCCAGTGCAAATCAATCATTTCTATGAGCAGGCCTTACCCTAGTTTTGGAACAATAATTATCTCAACCACATCAGTAATCTGATAATCTGATTCCAAGACTCACTGCCATTTTTGGGCAGATCATCTGCTGCATTTACCCATTTCAGGAAAATGAAGAAACTTCTGCTGACTGTCTCAAGGCCCTGAAAAGTGTCATGGAAATCTTTGAAAATTTAAATTTCCATGCATGACTGCTGCCTTTCAGTAAAATTGAATTGTTATAAGCCTGATCAAACTTGTGTGATTTTTCTGTAGGAATCTATAAAAAGGAAGAGACCCGACTTTTTTTAAAGGTCTACCAAATGAAGGGACCTATTGAGATCTTCATAAGCAAGTTCAGAAATGATAACTGGGCTTTGGATGGTCATGTAAGTACATGGTTTCTTGATATTATTCAGTCTGTTGGTAATTTTGAAGTTATATCCCATCAAAGAAAGGCAGACCAGGCTCCTTTCCCAGTTCCAAGAACTGACCTATATGGACTGTACAAATCAGATCTGCTCCATCCCGCTCTTGTGCAGTGAGTTACTTTTTGATACAGTGATTAACATGGATGGTTTAAATAGCTTTAACGCTGCTAGAACTGAGAAATTTATAACTTAGTGAATATTTACATCCTTGGTGACCATCAAGTGACTGATGCATCAGTCAAAACATCTCCAGCTTAACAATGACACTGAATACATTCAAAACTGTCAGCAATCAATGGCAAGCTGTGATATATTAGTGCTACTAAACAAGAATATGAGCAAGAATATTCTCCCTGCATGCTGAAAGATTCTATGAGAGGCATTGTTTTGGCAAAAACATGAACAATGGGGAAGGCTACAAAATTTGTCTCTGAAGCAAAATCAAGAAACTTGTAAAATATTGACTTTGAATAATTTGCAGTTTTGCTGGCCATAATTATAAAGACGTTATCATGGTGCTCCTGCATCTATGTAAAGTGGACATATGGTGACGTCAAACAGCGTCAACCACTGATTTGCCTCCTGAGCTACAATTTTGGATCTTGCAGGTTGTGTTAACATCTCTTAAAGATGGGCCGATGAGGCTCCCTCACTTGTACTACTGAAAATGAGACTTCCGAGGGAGAGGTTTAGGCTTTTCTTTGCTGGCTGTGCTGGGAGGGAAAGTACTCTGCTCAACACTGATGGAGGAATTTTAAAAGATTTTTGAATTCTGAAGCAGTTTATACTGGAGTGCGGAGCACAGAGTGATCAGCTAACAAAGCAAATGAAAATAGAAGCTAAGTATTGTGAACACTGAAGGTCTGGAATGCAAACAGAAATCACTAAGAAACTCAACAGGTCTGTCAGCATCTGTGGAGAGCAAAAACAAAACAAAGTTAATGCTAACAAAGCGATCGTTGACTTTCTTGAGTGATTTTGATTTGGCCTGTAAGCTGAGTGCTAAATTTAAGAATTTGGTACGAATGGGAGTTTGGTGCAGGGAAGGAACAGTAGCTATTTATTTGTTTTGTTTTATTCCGGTGGCTGGTAACTTCTTATTTCATCTCCAAGCAGGTAGACCAAAGAATTTGCAATTACTTTACTAAATTAGTGATGAGTTAACAAATTAAATTAAAAATGTTAAACGGAAAAGGCAGCTGGTTTGCTATGACCACTGCACATGTGGGTTTCTGGAATCTCACATTTGAAGTAAATATCAGTAGCTGGAATAGCTTAGGCTTAGAATGGCTGCACTCCAGTCAGAGCTGCAGTTACCTGGACTCTGTTTTGGGAGGTAGTCAGACAACTCAAGGTAAGTAGAACTTTGGAGATGACCAATGCACAAGGACAGGAGGACCTAACTGGGAGCCAGGCAGATATAGGAATTCATCAGAGATGAAGAAACCTCTCCACCTAACTTTGACCATCATTAATTTGCTAACTCTGCGGACGAGAACAAGTACTGTAGTGTGGATAACCAATATGACCTTGGCAGCACATTGCAGCAGGTCATTCAAGAAAACATTCATGATAGGGAACAGTATATTCAATATTGTATTGCAGCCACAGCCAGGAGATCTGAAACTTGTGTTGCCTGCTTAGTGCCAGGGTTAAGGACGTCCCTGTGTGGCTGGAAGGAAACTTGGAGTGAGAGGAGGAGAGATAGTAGGAACTGCAGATGCTGGAGAATCCGAGACAACAAGGTGCAGGGCTGGATGAACACAGCAGGCCAAGCAGCATCATAGGAGCAGAGAGGCTGACGTTTCGGGCCTAGACCCTTTATCAGAAAAGG